TTGTACAACATTCAAGTCAAATTCATTTGGCCGCTGACTCATCTTCACACGATGGCTGGCTGTATCTCTCTGAAAAGTCACAGAAATCTATGAGGATGATAAGAGAAGTCGGGGAGAGCGGAGAGCACGAGCCAGGCTAGATTCCACCGGGTTCAGCCCACGCATCCAGCGGCGGGGTCGGGTGTGCTTTGAAAGTTTGACATTTGCCGATTTCAGTCCCGTGAGGGTGGTTGGAAGCAGATAATGGAGCGGACAACCAAGAACGCCAAAGGAAGGCCCACACCGTCACACGACTCTGAAGCAGAACGCACGTGACTGACTGTCCTTCGAAGAAATCCACCAGCCACCCGCATGCAGTTAGAGATCACCCTCATCTTTGACTCTGTCTTCAGGAGGTTTAGCAAGCAGCCCTTTGCTACACAGTCAAAACCACTCACCATCTGGTCAGGACCTGCCCACTGCCCTCCCCGACAGCTATCTACTCCTTACTATTGAAGGGTCCTTGTTGACGTTTGCCCTAGAACTTTCAGTGTTCCCTACATTGCTTCTGAAAGCACCTTGAACTAAACAATGGGACTGGACTGGAAATTCAGTATTTGAAAGAGAGTCCCTTTTCACTGACTAGAACACACACTGACTGAGTATCTACTCTATTCTAAGCCCCGGATGTGGGCTGGGACAGCGTCTTGGAAAACCAGCGATGATCACAGGAGGGGATTTGGATCAATGACATGATTCAACTGGAGGGGTTCAACAGGGGGCGGGCACCTGGCTGCACCAGGTGCTGGGCTCTAAGTAGCAGCTGCCCTCAGCAGGCTAACCTGGATCTTAGGACTCTTTTGGTAGTTGGGAGAACACAGATCCAACGAGGTTCTCCGTGCGGCCTTCGCTGCGCCAGGTGCGGGGCTGGCAGGATGAGCCTCGGAGAGCCGGCCCCCCCTTCACAGTCCCTTGTTGAAGAGCACGCGCTGCAGCTCAGGACGGGCCTCGTGGATCTTGGCTTGCAGGTCAGCCTCCAAACTTGTCACAGACATGGAACTGGCGTGAGGGAGGAAAGACAGAGTTTTCACACAGTCAGAGGTGGGAACCAGAGTTAGAGGAACAGGGAGAAGGGATCCCAAATTTTGGGGCTGGGCAATAGAGTCCACTTCCAGTGGCTGGAAACGGAGGCGCTTATTCCTTTCCGAAAACGAACCGCTGTTAAGAATTGAAAGCGTGCAGCACAGGGACCCAATACCAAGGTGTCTTTTTCTTTCTCATGTTATGGAAGGCTTAAAAACCATACAGGGCGTTCAAGGCCACGAAGTGAGTGATGCTCAGATGCCACTGGCTTGGGCAAAGCAATCGGTGGTAATGGCATTTCCCAAGGAAAGTAAAACAAGTTGAAAGGACATGCATCCTCAAAAGGAGCCCTGGTGTTGTAGTGGGTAATGCATTGGGCTGCTAACCACAAGGTCGGCAGTTCAAGGCTACCAACCCCTCCTCAGGAGGAAGATGAGGCATTCCACTCTGGTAAATAGTTAGTCTCGGAAACCCACAGGGGCAATTTTACTTGGCAATCAATGAAAAGTTTCCTATCACTATGGATGTCATGGGGTCACCTGTCCTTGTAGATGACATGGTTTTCCATTTGGGAAACCTCTAGTCTACATCCTGTTTAAAAATGAAGCTTATTAGTGCACTTTCTTTTCATTGATCTGTTTGAGTGCTTGTTTTTCTCTGATTCTTTCTTTTTCTTGCTTTTCAGTTGCAAAGAATACAATTAGTCATACTCCTTGGTCCCTAGTACACTTTAATAAAATACATCCTGACCCTGCTATATTTTATTATAATTTAAAATCCTTTAAAATTTGTTTTATTTATTGGATTGACAGAGTGAACATTCATGAATGCACTGCCCCAATCATACCAATACATTATATCTCTTTCCCAGGATTTTTCTAAATTCATCATTTAGTGGTGGCGCTATGGGTTAAGTGCTAGACTGCTAACCACAAGGT